GAAACTTAAGTCTACACATGTTAAAACAAAAAGACAAAATTTAAGCCCGCCCACCCGCCCTATCTCAATTGTGATGATTTTTTTATTCGCCGTGAACCAAGAGGGCGGAGCTTAACTGCAAAATCTTATTTCTTTGCAATAATTAAAAACATGTTTTTGAGTATCAGTTGTTCAAAGAATATTATGTATATTAACAAAACAAGACAAAATATAAACCCCCACCTACCCACCACCTCTCACGTGTAATGATTTTTCATTCTTAGAAATTCAAATCGTGTATAAACTAGTAATTTTTTGTAAAAAATATGGATCTCGATGACTAAAAAAATCATTACAATTGAAATAGGGCGGGTGGGTGGGGCTTATATTATGCCTTTTTTCTTAAAAGACAACATATAAGAAGAAACTTAAAACATGCTTAAAATGGTAAAATCTTTAGACAAATACCTATGGATCTTGCTATTAAACCCCGCCCCTCGATCTGACAACGAATGAAAAATTCATCACAAGTGAGAATTGAAATTTGGGTAGGTATGGGTGGGGCCTAATCTTTGGCTTTATTTTTTTCTTAATATACATAATAATAATTTTTGAACAAGAATACGATACTCAAAAACATGTTTTTAATTTCTCGTAGAGAAATAAGAAGTTTGCAGTCAAGCTCCGCCCTCTTGGCTCACGACAAATAAAAAAATCATCCGATTTGAAATAGGGTGGGTGGGTGGGATTTATATTTTGACTATTTTTTCTTAATATACATAGCCATCTTTTTACAACAAGAAACTTAAGTCTACACATGTTAAAACAAAAAGACAAAATTTAGGCCCGCCCACCCGCCCTATCTCAATTGTGATGATTTTTTTATTTGGCGTGAACCAAGAGGGCGGAGTTTAACTGCAAAATCTTATTTATTTGCAATAATTAAAAACATGTTTTTGAGTATCAGTTGTTCAAAGAATATTATGTATATTAACAAAACAAGGCAAAATATAAACCCCACCTACCCACCCCCTCTCACGTGTAATGATTTTTCATTCTTAGAAATTCAAATCGTGTATAAACTAGTAATTTTTGTAAAAAATATGGATCTCGATGACTAAAAAAAATCATTACAATTGAAATAGGGCGGGTGGGTGGGGCTTATATTTTGCCTTTTTTCTTAAAAGACAAAATATAAGAAGAAACTTAAAACATGCTTAAAATGGTAAATTCTTTAGACAAATACCTATGGATCTTGCTATTAAACCCCGCCCCTCGATCTGACAACGAATGAAAAATTCATCACAAGTGAGAATTGAAATTTGGGTAGATATGGGTGGGGCATAATCTTTGGCTTTATTTTTTTCTTAATATACATAATAATCTTTGAACAAGAATACGATACTCAAAAACATGTTTTTAATTTCTCGTAGAGAAATAAGAAGTTTGCAGTCAAGCTCCGCCCTCTTGGCTCACGACAAATAAAAAATCATCCGATTTGAAATAGGGTGGGTGGGCGGGGTTTATATTTTGACTATTTTTTCTTAATCTACATAGCCATCTTTTTACAACAAGAAACTTAAGTCTACACATGTTAAAACAAAAAGACAAAATTTAAGCCCGCCCACCCGCCCTATCTCAATTGTGATGACTTTTTTATTCGCCGTGAACCAAGAGGGCGGAGCTTAACTGCAAAATCTTATTTCTTTGCAATAATTAAAAACATGTTTTTGAGTATCAGTTGTTCAAAGAATATTATGTATATTAAGAAAACAAGGCAAAATATAGACCCTACCCACCCACCCCCTCGTAATTGTAATGACTTTTTTATTCTTAGAAATTGAAGTCGCGTTTAAACTAGTAAATTTTTTATAAAAAATATGGATCTCGAAGATTGAAAAAAATCATCACAATTGAAATAGGGTGGGTGGGTGAGGCTTATACTTTGCCTTTTTTCTTAATAGAATTAATTGTTTAAACAACACTTGCAGCTAAGCTCCGCCCCCATGGCTCACGACGAATAAAACGAATCGTCACAATTGAGATAGGGAGGGTGGGCGGGGCTCCATTTTGCCTTTTAAGAAATATGTGTAGACTTATTTCGACAACAAGAAACTTTACTTTAATCAATTAGTTTTACTTTTTAATAAACTATGAAGCACTTAGACAACCAGTTATACAGATGCGTGTGGTCCTTGGGCATTTAGTAAAGTCCAAAACTGAGCGGCGGCACTTTTCCATGACCTACTGTGACCCTATAATTATGGTTGCCCGTGTTTTTTTGAATACGAATTTGTGCAAATGATTCGCTTGTTTGATGGATTTTACCGTTTCTATAGCTTTAGGACAAGAGTTGTTATTGAAACGTCGTTAGGGTGATTAAGTTGTCGCATTCCGCCGTTAGAGCGTGGCTTTAGTAGTGGAGTGCATTTAATGTTTGTGTAGAATCGATTTATGCGGCTTAATATTGGCATTAGCATTATCAGCGTGCGTTGGCGGGCACAAATGACGGAACTTTAATTTAAAATCAACATGGTCGGATTAGCGTTCCAAAAATCTAGACATTTAACTGACAAGCGTGAGAGCGGGCAAATCACCCCAATACGTTACCGGGGATATCTCTGAACCTTGTTTGATGCGGTATTTTTTCGTACGAGATTTATGGTCCATTTTGTCTTATGAAAGAGCCATAAATGCTTCCGATTTGATGACAGCTTAGTTTTATTGTGGCGTGTTCTTTACGTTTCATTCAAGCAAACTAATATTAAAACCGGGTATAGGTGGGGAGATTCTATAACCGGCTCAGTCGCTGTTAAGTCTGTGCTTATCTCTCCCCGCCTGCATTGTTGGTTGTCTATATATTACAGGTTTATCTAACCGAATTCGGCTGCAACATTTTTATTCCCGCGGATTTATACGGTTAAAGGAGTTTATCAAGCTTAAGAGGACGCGATTGTTTTGAAAGTTTTATTGCCGCTTCGAGCTCGCATGTCTAATGCATCCCGACTTGTCAGTTACAGTTTGTCATCTTAAACTGCTCCGAAAGATAATATTCAATTTTATTTCACGCTTCATTTTTCTTAATGGGGGTTTTATCGACGATTCGGATAAAAGGATTAAATTGGCGTCGTTCGAAATGCAGAGACAGCGGAGCGAGTTTTTGCCCGACCGAATATAGTTCCTTTTGTTTGGTTTAATTAATCCGGAAACTTCCGCTGCCCTAAGTAAGCATCGATCCCTAATCGCCAACTTCTGACCTGCTCACCGACTTATTGTTCGAGGCGTAATCGATTCATGGCGCGGAAAATATGAGCGTTTTCGCAAACGGCCCAAAGCTCCTCCTAATAGATGAACTTTCCCTTGTCTGCAGCTGCCCCTTTTACGGCCTCGGCGGTGCTCGAGACTGTCTCCGAAGAATCTTATTAAAAACGCCCCAAAAGGGAAAAATAATAATAAAACGGAACGTGTTGCTTAGAGGCGGGGATGTTAAAGGAGGTGTTGATGATTTCGCCTCGATCCCGAAATTCCGGATTGCTTTTTAAACGCGAAACGTAATCTAACTGGCAAAGGAATGCTTCGGCGTGGCATTTTTATTGCAGCCAATTTTACGCAAACTGATTTGAGATTTGTTTGTTTTATGCTCGCTCTTTTGCAAGCCGACGAACACGTGCCGGGGACCAAAGCTGCCGGAACGGATTGATCCGGACGGTCCTGCTAATTATTTTTTGCTTGGCGGAACGAGCTTTCTTCGGGGAGATAATTAACTTTTGTCGTCGGGGCAAAACACACCACCGAACTGATATTTGATACTTATTATACGAGGCAAACTTAGTCGTTTCGGAACACCACTACTAGAACAATCAGTTCTGTTGGTTGAAAAGTTCGACGAGATAACCCGGCGCCTCCGCCATTTCCGTCCGGGTTTTACCGGACTCATGAATACGTAATCCGACGATGACAAACACTTATACCTGTAGATTACTTAACGCAAATTAGCATTCCATAATTCTTAAGTCGTGAATAATCGATGGAGGCGGCTAATGACGAGCACAACTTCGCTCGTTAATAATTAACGGCGTTTGTCCGTAAAAATAAAATTACAGAAAACCCGTAATAACGCTCTTTATTGGCGGCAGTCATGCGATGCGCGTAAGTCGATACTTTCACACAAACATAATAAATGAATCAGAATGAATCCGAATTCGTTCGGTTTATCGGAGTTTTAGCATTGTTCCTCCGCCGGAGTTAATAGGTGATTAAAACTTGCAAAAAACTCCTTTCACATTCTGCGTATATGAGGGGCGAAAATCGTTTCGATTTGCTAAAATACGAATGTGCCCACAGCCCGGATATAAATTGTTTTAGTTTCAAACTTTAATAAACCACGGGACCGAGATATCTCCTGAGAGTAATTCCTCGATGTTGTGTCTCTTTTCGAGAGCAGCTGCGATCTCCGAGATAATGGATATTTAAAACACCAATTTACTTTTAATTCGTTTAGTTTGATTGATTCCCCTGGAATCGCGAGCTGAAGTTGTGTGATTCTTTCGACTGACCAATGTACGACAAGGCGAAATTGAAATTTATTGAAAAATCGCGCTTTTATTCGCCGGATTCGTTTCCGGGCGACGTTGGCCCGCTTCCGGGAAGTCGGTTAGTGGGATACGAAGAGCCCAAACACCTGTAATTTTTAACGAAAATCAATCACACAGCGCGGCCGATGAAATATGCAACGGAATGAAAAGGGGGAAGAGTTGAATTTCCTCATTAATATTCCGGCCTCAGACCGATAATTATTACCTATCATGTGGGAAACAGTGGAAATATTTCGTTAAAAATTTATGCTGACGGAATTTTAATTACTGTTGTGGTCGCGAACCGAAATAGAAATTACCGCGTTTAGCGCAGCTGTAAATTCGACACCGAATTATTTTAATTTTTAAGCGCCGGCTCCAAATACGCTGCGGCTGGTGTAAATTACGGGGACAGAAATAAAAATAAAAAAGATAATAATTACTTACTCGTCTTAGACAGCTGCAGTCGACCCCACGCCACCCTGAAATAAAGGTCGTTTTAATTCAGTATAAATAGTGGTGAAAAAATATTGATATATAAAAAGTAATGCTAATAAAGATTCTTGCATTTGTCCGCAACCGTGGTTTTAAAGTCCTTCGGATTTATGTTCCATAAAATAAACTTCCGTCCATCTGGTAAAAATGTAAAATACCCCGATTTGCTCGACGATTCCGCACACACCAGTACCATACATCTGCCCGGATTATTTCCAGGAGTTCGTTTTTCCTCGAGGATTTTTGAGAACACGCGTCGTCTCGCCACACAGACAAATTTCACGATCAAAGTCTCGCAAATCCTAGTTTCTTGAATCAGCGAGTTCTGACAAATGCATTACAGGGTTAAATCATTACGAGAAATTTCTCTTTGATTTCCGCTTACTTTTGTTCTGCATTCTGTGTCCATATTTGCGGCACTTGTAACATTTGACGATGAATTTATTTTTATTTTGCTCGCTTTTGATCTTGGCGCTGGATTCCTCTTGAAGTCTTTGTTGGAGTCGTCATCGCACAAAAGCTGCTTTCATTTGCACGATTTTCCACATTTTGTATAAAAAAATGGGCGAAAAATTCCATAAACCATTACTCAGTTTGATGTTTTTGACGTTCGGGCTTGATTTTTAAACTGAATGCGTTGTTTATTTGGAAAATGGGCCGAATGCATTGTATTCAAAACAAGTTTTTAATTTCCGAGCGTAAGCGATGGAAGTATTGTAATCGAGACCGTCGGCCGACTCTCTACTTTTGCGTTTTCTCGACCTTTCATGACCCCTAAAGTACGAAGAAATAGGTCTCCCGTTTCCGTATGTCCATAATTTTGTATTTATATTGTGAATATCATGTAGATGGTAAAACGCTAACCAAATTTTGTCCAATCATCCCCACCAATAATGTAATGATGTCACTTCAAACTTGCACATAGTAAATGGGTTTGAAATTGTATAAAATAAAACTTGCTAAGATAAGAGTGAAGTCTATTTTCAGAATGTAATATCTCCGTTATTAACAGACCTATGATTTTGAAATTTTAAATATATATTGTCCATAACTTTCTTTATATAACGTAATTTTGTTTATGATCATATTTTTCTTTTAATTTTAGTAAAATTTTTGCATAATGTATTTTTAAAAATCAATATCTCAATTATTAAAGGAAATTTCAGAACACGGTTTTCAACACCGTTTTCAGCTTATAAAACTCCAGAAATCATACCAGATACGCGTATATCTTCGATTTTTTTTTTGTCATAGAAGTTGCTAGCTTTTATTTTTACTATATCTCAGTCCCAACAAATAAAGTCAAAAATAGGCCTAGTACGATTTCTAAAGTTTCAAAATTTCCATAAATAACTGAAATATTGATTTTTTAAAATACGACATTTTGCAATTTAATTTTGAATCTGCTAAACTGAACACACAAATCTTGCAGATGTTTTAAAGTTATTGGAAGTATGGTAAATTGTTAATAAAAATATATCTGTTTTTTCCCTCCAAAAATTAATGCAAAATATAATTTTTTACTTTTTTTCAATTTCCATTTTACACTAAATAAACCGGGAATGGAAACTAATAGAACGTAGGCTGTTAAACAAGCGTTAATCTTTTTTTGTTATACTACGTATTTACTATAACATTTATTTCTTATTTCTGAAAAAGAAAAATGAGAGAACGGGTGGGTGGGTGGGGCTAGTACTTGCTAAGATAAGACTGATTGTGGCAAACCACATACCCTCTAAGAAAATAGAGGGTGGGAGGGCGGGCTAATATTTGTTAAGATAAGATTGATTTTCGTAAATGACATATCGTGTAAGAAAAAAAGGGTAGGTGGGCGGGACTAAAACTTGCTAACTCAGGACTGAACAATGTTAAGAGTATTCACTGGAATAAATCATTTCAGTGGTTACTCTTAATATTGTTCACTTATTTAGCAAAATCAATCTTATCTTAACAAGTCCTAGCCGGCCTTCCCATCCCTTCTTCGTTTCAGTAACTACTCTTAATTTTGTTCAGTACTATCTTACAAAATTTTAGCCCCCCCCCCCCCCACCCACCCTTTTTTTTTCTTAGAATATATGTCATGTACCAAAATCAACCTTATCTTAACAAGTACTGGCTACCCACCCCTTTTTCGTTTCAATAACCACTCGTAATATTGTTTAGTACTATCTTAGCAAATTTTAGCCCCGCCCGCCCACCCTTTTTTGTCTTGGAGAATGTCATTCACTAAAATCAATCTTATCTTAACAAGTACTAGCCTGCCTACCCACCCCTTCTTCGATTCAGTGACCACTCTTAATAATGTTCAGTACTATCTTAGCAAATTTTAGCCCCGCCCACCCACCCGTTTTTTTCTTAGAGGATATGTCATTTACTAAAATCAATCTTGTCTTAACAAGTACTAGCCTGCCTACCAACCCCTTCTTCGTTTCAGTGACTACTGTTAATATTATTCACTACTACCTTAGCAAATTTTGGCCCCGCCCACCCGCCCTTTTTTTTCTTAGAATATGCGTCATTTACCAAAATCAATCTTATCTTAACAAGTACTAGTCCGCATACCCACCCCTTCTTCGTTTCAGTGACTACTCGTAATATTGTTCAGAACTGTCTAAACAAATTTTAGCCCCCCCCACCCACCCTTTTTTTTCGTAGAATATATGTCATATACCAAAATCAACCTTATCTTAACAAATACTGGCTACCCACCCCTTTTTCGTTTCAATAACCACTCTTAATATTGTTTAGTACTATCTTAGCAAATTTTAACCCCGCCCACCCACTCGTTTTTTTCTTAGAAGATATGTCATTTATTAAAATCAATCATGTCTTAACAAGTAGTAGCCTGCCTACCTACCCCTTCTTCGTTTCAGTGACTACTCTTAATATTATTCACTACTACCTTAGCAAATTTTGGCCCCGTCCACCCACCTTGTTTTGATTAGAATATATGTCATTTACCAAGATCAATCTTATCTTAACAAGTACTAGCCTGCCTACTCTCCCCTTCTTCGTTTCAGTGATTACTCTTAATATTTTTCAGCACTATCTTTGCAAATTTTAGCCCCGCCCACCCACCCTTTTTTTCCGTAGAGGATATGTCACTTATCAAAATCAATTTTATCTTAACAAGTACTAGTACTAGTAATCGAACTAGATCAAATGAACCACTGCAATTGAGGCGGGGTGGGTGGGTGGGGTGAATTATATTTTTTTGTAAAGTGGGAATGGAAACTATGGAGGTGTTAAAAAAGCGTTTATCGTATTTTTTTGGTATGCTAATTATTTGCTATACCATTTATTTCTTATTTCTAAAGAACAAAAATGAGAGAACGGGTGGGTGGGCGGGGCAAAGTTAAATTTTTCCTACAGAATCTTTAATAAGCAAGCAATAGCCCCACCCCACCCACCCCCTTTTCATTCCAGTGATTACTCTTAATATGTTCAGTCATTTAGCAAAATCAAACTTATTTTTACAAATACTAGCTCCGCCCACCCGCCCTCTATTTTTTTAGAGGGTATGTCGTTTGCCACAATCAGTTTTACCTCAGCAAGTACTAGCCCTTGCCACCCACTTCTTAGAAAGTATGTCATTTACCAAAATCAATCTTATGTTAACAAGTATTACTTTTTCTAGTTTTATGAACAAGCAGTAGCCACACCCCACTCTTCTTCGTTCCACTACTCTTAATATTGTTCAGTCCTATCTCAGCAAGTTTTTTACCAAAATCAATCTTATCTTAACAAGTGCTAGCCTGTCCCACCCACTCTTTAATTTCTTAGAAGATATATGAGATAACGAAATTACGAATTTTCAGTGAAATTTTCAATAAAAAAAATTATTTTCATAATTTTTTATGTTATTTTGTAGAGTGAGAATGGGAACTAATATAACGAAGACTGTTAAAATATGAAAAAAATTAACTAATCGTTATATAGTGAACCAAGACCTATAAGGTTATATGGCCATCATAAAAGTAGTTGACCGCAAATAAATACCCCCTTTGTGTGGTTCGCACTAAGCTTACCGGTTGGCAATAAATCATCTTCTAAACATTTCTTGCTCATATTTAACAGGGCCGACTTTCAAAGCGAGTGATTATTTCGGAACCCTCAGCGGCTGCAGGTAGTAAAGAAATAGTGGAGTGGTGGATTTTCATATTTAGTGAAAGCCGCCCCTGAACGAAACCACACGAGCCGGTCGAGCTGCAGTGGACACGTTATTTACGACCCTAAAACCTTTTCAATTGTAAACAACTTAACTTCGACACAATGGGATGATTTTATGATGGCCATATAACCTTATAACTCTTGGTTCACTATACTATGTGTTATAAGATTTATTTCTTATTTCAGAAGAACAAAAGAGAGAAGGGGTGGGTGGGCGGGGCTAAGTTTAATTTTTCCAACAGAATCTTTTCTAAGCAAGCAATAGCCCCGCCCACCGACCCTGTTTTCATCCCAGTGGCTACTCTTAATATTACTCAGTCATTTAGCAAAATCAATCTTATCATAACAAGTATCAGCTTTTTTCTAGTTTTATGAACAAGCAATAGCTACTTCTACCCACCCCTTCTTTGTTCCAGTGACTACTATTAATATTGTCAGTTCTACCTTAGCAAGTTTTAGCCCCACCCACCCACCCGTTTTTTTTTTTTCTTAAAGGATATCTCATTTACCAAAATCAATCTTATCTTAACAAGTACTAGTCCGCATACCCACCCCTTCTTCGTTTCAGTGACTACTCGTAATATTGTTCAGAACTGTCTAAACAAATTTTAGCCCCCCCCCACCCACCCTTTTTTTTTTCTTAGAATATATGTCATATTCCAAAATCAACCTTATCTAGGGCGGGGCTAAGTATAACTTTTGTTCAGTCCTATCTTAGCAAGCTCTAGCCCCCCCCCACCCGCCCTCTATTTTCTTAGAGGGTATGTCGTTTGCCACAATAAGTCTTATCTTGGCAAGTACTAGCCCCTCCCGCCCA